AAGCGAAGCTGGAGAGGAATACCTGCCTGGAAGAAGGGCTGCAGCGGAATAGGCAGAGGCGACGATACTTCCCTGGAAGAAGAGCTACAGCCTGGTCGGGTGGAAAAACTCCAGAGAGACCACAGTCAAACATCAGCAACTGGGGTTGAAGCGCTCCAGACTCCCTCTCCAATGGCTAGGAAGCAGATTTGGTGGCGGTACTCGGTTCAGTATGTGGTCGAATTACAGTTCCCTCAGTAATGTGCAGGGTGTAACGGGAGATTACAGAGTCCAATCGTACAAAACGTATATGCCACACATCAGGCAAGCCCATATACACGCATAACACCAGATACAGCCAAACACATAAATAATACAGACAGGGAATGCTTTTACCCATGCCTTCCTATGGGCTTTCTAGCGACGGTGAATGTACTCATGCATAGCGTAAGGAGGTCCAGCATCAGTTACACAACCTGGAAGTCCCTCTAGTGGCTGTCTGGTGATAGACAGCCACTAGAGGTGGAGTTAACCCTCAAAGGTAATTATTGCAGTTTATTAAAAACTGCAATAATTACCACTGCACCCAGACCACTTCAATGAGCTAAAGTGGTCTGGGTGCCTATAGTGTCCTTTCAAAGTGTTTACTGTGTATATAGAATAGACAAAACGGCACACTGGTAGGTCTTTTTTCAATAATGTTCTTTAATTCGGTTGCATATCACATACATGTCCTAGGTACAACATTTTCACCCGTCCGAGTCTTTCTCAATATCTTGCTTTGCAACTGACTTAGACACTTATTGAAAAAAAAAAAAACCCTGCTAGTGCACCTTTTTGTCTATTCTAAATATATCATCGCAGGTTTGCATCAAGGTTAAGGTGAAATTATATACTGGCAGAGGACATATATATGTATTTAGTTTTTTTTGTTACTCCAATTTGAAGCAAATTGAAATATGAATTGCACATGTAAACCAAACATAACAGTTTTAAAGTAATTCTTCAACTGCACTATAGTTGCAGCTTTGATATTTTAGTCTTAATTTTGCAATTTCAGTTTTTTTACTAGAAATCAGAATTTAGTATAGACCCCGTGTGCGTTTGCATTTCTGCAGGAGTCATTCATGTAATATTCACTGTATATGAACATAACAGAGTTCTACAGCAATACAACTCTCACATCTCATCATCATTCATCTACTACTCTGAACCTCTTTCCATATTGTCCCTTCCTGTAGTGGTGTCCATCTTTCCTTACTCCACCGGTGTCCTACACTTCTGATTCTCTCCCCACTTTCCGTCCTTCTGTAGGACCAACTCCTACAGTTGTATATATACAACTCCTACAGTTGTATCTATAGGTCCCTCTCCCTTCTCTGCCCCAACACCTTCAACTTTCTCCATATTCTTCCCCTCAACAATTGTCACTTTTCTCATATCCCCACACACCTTCAACTTTCTTCATATTTCCACCCCCACACATAGATAATCTGTCCCACTTTGTTAATTTTCCCCAAAATATAGTGATTCGCTCCCTACCTACTCTGGTGGTAGCTGGTGGAGAGATATGGGACTGATTGTCCTAACAGAGAGTTCAGTTAATTTTGGCGCCACCTGCTGGTAGTACAACATAAAGTCTATCCCTGCTGTGTATTGCAGCCATGGGCACGAAAGTGAAAAGTCCTGCCAAGGACTCTGACTCTCATGCCACTTGGCTGCTCAATGTGGATTATTAGCTGCACTATTTTCTACTGCCCTTTGCTCCCGCTCCTGGATCCGCCACTGGCCCGTACACATATACAACCTCAAAAAGCATCTGCCGCACCTAGATATAACACAAGATAAATTATTACACATACATAGAGGTCAAACAAAAACGACTTCAAAGTTTATCTTTAGCACAGGGCTAGAAAAACAGGAAATGGAGATTGACAGTATAAATGTATAAATCAAAGGGGAGAAGATTTAAATAATACATGAGATAGACATTCAATTATTACATTACAGATTAATCACACATATATGTACATACATCAAGTATATATTACACCAACATACACCGATAAGCCGCAAAACCACCGACAATAGCAACTGACAAGGGGCGGGATATGTCAGGCAGCAAATTAAGTCAGTTTTTGACTTTCATGTGCTGGAAGCAGGAAAAATAGGCAAAGCGAAAAGATCTGAGTTACTTTCACAGGGTCCAAATAGTTTATACAGACTACAGAGGGTCAGAGCATCTCCAAATTGGCAAGTCTTGTGGAGTGTCCCTGGTATGTAGTGGTTAGTACCCACCAATAATGGTGCAAGGAAAGACAAGTAGAAAATCAGAAAAAGAGTCATTGATACCCAATGCTCATTGATGTATGTGGGGAGCAAAGGTTTAACTTACCTGGTCAGATCACACAGAGGAGCTAATGTAGCTAAAAAACTTAATGTTTGCCATGATAGAAAGGTGTCAGAACACATCACAGTTTGTTGCATATGGGCCTGTATTGCTACAGCCAGGTCAGAGTGCCCATGTTGACCTCTGCCCACCGACAAAAGCACCTTTCAAGGGGTTGTGAGCATGAGAACTGGACCATGGCGCAATGGAAGATGGGTGCCTGGTCGGAAGTATCACGTTTTCTTTTAGATGAGGTGGATGGCCAGGTGTGTCAGTGTAATTTACTTGAGGACGAGATGACAGAAGGATGCGCCAAGATAGGTCCACAGAGGAAGTGTCATGCTCTGGGCAATGTTCTGCTTGGAAACCTTGGGTCACGTGGATGTTACTTTAACACATACCACCTCCCTAGAGGTTGTTGCCGACCATGAGAACACCCCTTCATGACAATGGTGTTCCCTGATGGCAGAAGCCTCTTAAGGGGGACCTACACGAGATCAGGCAGGTGCTTTTAATGTTGTGGCTGATTAGTGTATGATAAAGACACAATAAATAAATTGATATGCCTTGCACATGCTACACATTGTAATTTATTACTCACATGCCTTAAAACTGCATATGCATCAAACATGTATATTTATCAGACACAGAATATTCCACATTGCATATGTCAGGGCATGGCAAAGATGTTTAGACTTCATGTTACGGAACCCCAACATGGACAGGAAAAAACAAACAATAAGGTGCTTTTGTCACTATGGGAAGGGGTTATGGAGACCCCCTGGATGCTTATTCTGAGTCCTAGCCAGATTGGGGATCTTTAGGAATCACCTGGACCTGTTCTGTATCTCAAGCGCCTGCAGCCAAATATCCTGGAATGCTGGATTGGAACTTGACTACAATCCAGTGAATCTTTGCTCACGTATTGCTAGGTCCCATGAGCAGCCATCAGGGTGCTGATTGAACAGTATGGGGCCTCGGTGAGAAGTTATCCAGGTAGGTGGGGGTGTGTTAGGGTACTGTTTTCCCAAGCGCTCTAATTAACCAGTCATTTGCCTGGAACTCTGCACCAAATCTGACAATAACCGCAATCTGGTACAGGTAACTTGCTACTGCTCTGTTACTAGCGATCCTCAGACATCTGATGGGGTGGAGTCCAGGGAAAGGGGCTTCTCTGACATTTTACCTCTAGGTCTGGGAAGGAACAACAGGGAGTCCATCTTGTTGTCTGGGGATGACACAATGTAAATATTGTAAGGGCAATTGTTTCCTTAATATCATTTAATACGGTTATTTACAAAATTCTAAATGGGGCAAAACCATCTGGCTGCTTATGGGGTCTGTTTGTACTGAACAACGTTGTTCCAGCAGCCAGTGAGCCACTAGTTAAACCATCAAGATCACAAGTGTTAAGGACACATGACAGGTGACATGTCATGATTCCCTTTTATTCCAGAAGTTTGGTCCCTAAGGGGTTAATATACTCCTATAATTAGAAAGACTGATATCCCTGACAGAAGCGCCAGTATACCATCATGGAGCCAATATTGGTTGCAGGGTAAAAAAAGGGCCTAACCTCAAATATCGAACAGAATGATTGGATCAAAAAAAAAAAAAAAGCGTAAAAGATTAATATAAAAACCACCAACTTTAAGTTCCAAAAACTTAGTGTCACTACGTGAAAAACAGTGAATTGTGCAGATTACAATAGTTAAAATGGGTAGCTGGAGTACACTTATAAATGATCACTAAATATGACTAGAAGGTTGCTATATTTGTTACAATGTAATCCCATTCACAGAGGCTAAATAAGTGTCTGTCTAAGGGTTGGTTATTGTTAGACCATGAATTGTAAGGGTTTTTCTAAATAAGCTGTTACTAAATGTAGTAAGAGACTAAAATGAAGTCAACTAGTACATTTAGGAGTAAATCATATGAAAAAAGTTTGAATGTAGTAAACTGATAAAGTTACTATAGATCCTTATGTAGTTCAATATTCCAGTTGCCCTTAGAAAGACACATTGATATAAGGTAGACAGTTGTACCCACAATAGACAATACCTAGGACAACAATTTTAAAATACAACATATTGTCCCACTGGACTAGTAATATAGCACCCCCATTCTGGCATTGTATAGTTCAAATAGTTGAAAAATCCTCTAGTATTACTCACCATAACCACTATAGCACTTTGATTATTCCTTTAATATACTCCTGTAATTAGGTCCATCAAAACATTCAGCTCCAGACCCATGAAGCACTGGGGTGGATGTTGCATTACACTTCTGAACTGGAGTTTGCAAGATTTTTTTTAAATTTAGGTTTTATCAAATGTGAATAAATTAAACGCTTTAATGAGTCAATGTGCTAGGTTGGAGATTACTTTTAAAGTTACAGTAGTACAGAGATTATAAATAATGTTTCCATTTATGTGCGATATCCTGGTATTATTGTATCCATTGTAAGAAAGCCATGTGATAAGTATTTTTTTTTTTTTTTTTTTAAAGAGTAAATTCCAAATTTAGGAGAGAATAGCAGTTTAGACTGACTTTTCTGGCCTTAAATTTACAGCTATTCTTACTTTAGTTAACCTCAATGGCGATTTAAAAAAAACAAACAAAAAAAAAAAAAACTGCTGTGTTGGTTGAAAGAGTGTGGAACAGATCCTAGTAATTGTTAAATGCCTATAGCAAGACATTCACAAAGAAGACAACGAAAAATAAGAAAAGACAACTTTATTTCTGCATACAAAGATTCAACGCAACACTTCATTATTCCCTGATTGGAGCATTAAGGCACATAAAAATGATGTCCCTTTGATAAAGAATTTGAGTGCAGTTCAAAATACCTGTTTGTGAAGCATAAAAGCTAAATTTTATTTTAAAAAAACGAAAAAACCACATACGTCAGCAAAACACATCATCCTTTAACCTCATTGCAGAGGGGGTGCATATTCCCCCTATCCCTTGTGGGTTAATAGATCACATGCCACATTTAATTTACATACAAAAAAAAAAAAATACACGATTCATAATCATGTCTACATGACAACAGAAAAAAGACTAAACTTAAAGCCAATCCCCCTCCCATGGGTGGTTGGCATTGGTGAATGATTGGTCTATTCGCTAGTTAGTGAGTTGAAAGCCAAGTTGCTAAATGCAAGTAAAACTAAACCATTTAATTACACGACATGTGTGACATGTCATGATTTCTTTTTATTCCAGAAGTTTGGTCTTTAAGGGGTTAAAGGTGTGGGTGGGTGGAGGGTTCAACTCCACCATTTAATTTTGCATTCTGGCTTCCAATTCACAGGTTAGGCAATAAAACCTGTTACTCTTATGTGCGTCTTGATTAAAGAATTAGAGTTTTGCAATAGGGGATGCAGACACTGCTATACTTTCAATTGCACACTCATTTGTGCCTCTGCGGATTCTAAAGTAGCCCTTTTCACCCCATGACTCGCCCCAGCTGTTTTTTACGATCCAGTACTTTTCACCATTGGACTCTTCCCCATAACCAACCAGCAGGACAGCATGGTTTGTTAGCTGAAACGGGTTGAACTTGTCTTGCAGTCCAGTGTGGTGGTAGATCCCACCTCCGTAGTGCATAAAGTCATCATACACCTCAAAAGCTACAGCTAGTGGACCTCCCATTAGAAGCTCATATTTCATCAAGGCCTCATTGCAACCGCCATAAAACCCTCCTACATAGTGATATTCAGCAGTGTAATATCGGTAATAGTCATCTTTCAGAGTGCAAGGAGAATCTGAGCCAGTGTAGGGAAAGTTGGACTCTTCGACAATACCAAAGTCTTGGCCATATTTCCCAGCAATTAGATATGGAAAGCCTCCATCACAGCCTTGGGGAGAAGGAGAAAAAAAAAAACAAAAAAACACAAATGGTTATTTGACAAGTCATGCATGTGATATGCAATAGTGCTAAATAAGCAAAAGCAGGTTTGAAATAAAATTAAAACAAAGGTTAATTCAGTTAGCCATTAGAGGGGTGAACGGTCATGTTCCAGAATGTAAAATGTTTTAACTTGTCTCTCGATAGACATTTGTGAGGTCTGAGAGGGGAAGCAAAACAAAAGGGCTCACGGTTTTATTATATGGTGTAAGTTACAGAGTAGTGAACGTTTCCATTTAAACACTTCCCTATGAGCCACTCTTAAAAGGAGAAATAGAACCAGTTTGCGTCTCCTTCAGTGCTTTAATAGGAGACTCAATTTTTAAACAAACAAAGCCATTAATCAAATATAGATAAATGAATCAGTTTCATAAATCACAGTAGGGTATAGGGGTGGAGAAAGAACAAGTTAAAGATGGAGTTAATTTGATAAGCAGTATAGGGTCCGGAACAAATATTTCTGATCCTATATAGTGTTAAAACCAACATCTAGCCCGCCCCACCCCCCGGGGCCCACTAGATCTAGTAAAATATTACCTATATTCAAGTCTGTTGCTGCCTCTGATCTGCCCATTTGGCAGACATCAGCAAAAGTAGAGATCAAAGTCAATCACAATGCTTTCCCATAGGAAGGCATTTTATTGGCGAAGCTTGTCAAGGAGGCAGATTCAGCAAGAGTCAAACAACCCTGGCCTGTCACCATCTCCTCAGATACATGGAATCCATGCATTTGAGGAAAGTCTAGTGTCTGCATGCAGTGGGTGGAGACACTCAATGTCAGACACTGCAGCACGAGATAGATATATATCTCTATCTTATGGCAAAAATGGTTATTGCTCCAGACAGACTTCCATGATACATTTTGCCTTTAGATGTTGCGTTCAATTGAATTCTATAGTTCTTTGGTATGTTTAATCCTATTAGCAGATTATCATTAAATATTAGATGGGGCACCCAGCCACAAAGATCATAATGTCATATTCTCCATTTACATTCCTAGCTTCTGGAATAAGCATATTGCTACATGTCAAAATTTGACTTTATTTACATGAACAATTTTATTGCATGGCACACAACATTATGTAATCAAAATATTTAAAGGTTTGTGTTCCTTTGTAAAATGTGTGTATGTTGTAGGATTCAAAATACTACATGGCTGAGCATTTTTCAAACTGATAATTGTGGACCTCAGTGTGCCTTAATTTCCACCATCTATTAGATAGATATTGTTACAGGAGTCCATTGGTGCCAGCCACTGCTTAGAGTCAGATTCAAAATGGTTTGACACTTACCTGGTCCTACCAGGCATCTACACTAACCGCTCTTATCGGGTATCACTAAAGCAAAAGTTCCTACTAGCCCATGAGATTTGATACAACTTTCCTCAGCAAAAAAATAAAAAAAAAAGTCAAAGTGGAAGGGGAACTTCAATTTTAGCAATATTGGAAGATGGATGTGTTCTGGGCACGCAGGTAAGTGTCACTGGTCTGTGCGCAACAGCAGTCAAATCTATTTAACAGGATTCCATGCTTTATGGGTTGAGTTTTGTCCTCAGAGAAATTCAAGTCAGAAGGTAATTGGAACAGCTCTGTGAAGAGATGGCAGCTATATTCTAACTGCTGTTGATCATGAATGTTACACACCTCTTCCACCACCTCCATATGCATTAGAAGAGAACCTCTCGTTTCTACAGCACTTTTGTATTTATCTGCATGTCAAATCTATTTTTTCCGTGTTTCATTTTTATAATTTCTTACAAGTCAAAACATCAGTTAAACATTACCTTGAGAATAATTACTGCAAGACACTATCTGCTGTGGGCTCAGGGTAGGAGTCTGGCGGAGTTGCGAGGAAACACGAATTCGAGATTCTAGCATTCCCATAGTAGCAAAGGCATAACAGCTTCCACAGTTTCCTGTATAGATGGAGGAAGAAATCGTTGTTAGTGAAAAGCTTATGATCGGTTGTGATCAATGGCTGGGAGGATCAGATGACATCTTTCAACAAAGCAAAGTTTGTGACATTTGGTAAATGGGTTGAGATGCATTTATCACTAGTACTACAATATTCCATGGTGAGAGCTTAAACTTCTTTGTTATATAAAAAGGCACTTCAGCCAAGTGATGGCTTTCCCCTTTAATTTGCCTTGCGTAATGGGAGTTCTTGAAATTCTCCATTTTTGGAATGCTAGTAAAATTAGTGAGGTAAGCTTCCTCCCTCCCTTGTATATAAAAACAAATTCAAACTAAATTAGAGGGTCAATAAAGCACCATAAGCACTGCATGCTTTGGTTATGATGCTAGTATGCTGCAGGTGCCCCACCATTCAGTTCTGTTTGGAGCCATTTGAGCAATTTAGCCAGAGCAATGCACAAGGCGTTACAAGGCACATGCATTTCGTCCCAAGCTGTATTTTTGATGGGGGTTGTTTCACATCCAAGTTAGCTATATCTGACCTTTATTTGAATGAAAGTGAAGGGCTAATATTGTAATCTTAACACAGAACTGTCATCCACAACAAGGAAAGATTGTGTTTAGACTGCTGGTCTTAAAAAAATAAAAAATAAAATAAAAATAATTCAAAAGCCATTGTTAAAGGACCACTCAAGGCAACCAGACCACTTCAGCTTAAATGAAGTGGTCTGGGTGCCAGGTCCCTCTAGGATTAACTTTTTTTTTAATAAACATAGCAGTTTCAGAGAAACTGCTATGTTTATAAATGAGTTAATCCAGCCTCTAAAGCCTCTAGTGGCTGTCTCATTGAAAGCCGCTAGAGGCGTTTGCATGCTTCTCACTGTGAAAGTCACAGTGAGAAGACAGAGTCCATAGGAAAGCATTATGAATGCGTTCCTGTGAGACCAACTGAATGTGCGCGCATCTCCTGCCACGGATGCGCATTCAGCCGAAGAGGAGGAGGAGAGGTTACCGCCCGGCGCTGGAAAAGAGGCAAGTTTAACCCCTTTCCTTGCCATCCAGCCCGGAGAGAGGGGGACCCTGAGGGTGAGGCACCCTCAGGGTACTATAGTGCCAGGAAAACGAGTGTTTCCTGGCACTATAGTGGTCCTTTAAAAACTCTTGTTAAAGTGCATATTGTAACCAACTGGTAAGGCAACCCAATAGCTAGTGTACAGTGTTTTAAAAAAAAATAAAAAATAAGTCTTTGTAACTGGGTAAATATATTGTATACAATGGTAATATCACATACTGGCCAGAAGGGGGGAGGGGGATTATAGCCAATTGGTATTACTAAAATACAACTTATGTAAAGTTTATAGCTAAAAACACAACATTCTTGCCTACCAATTCTTAAAACTCAATACACACATTTCTTTGTAAATAAGATCTATACAAGCCAGTATTAAACCCAGCACATTCAGCAGTGTGACCTGCAAGCTAAAAATGTTATTTGTGCATTTGTCATAGACCACAATCAAAGTCACAAAGTAGTACCAGTAAAAATACCTTGATTTCTAACTGGGCTGACAAAGTTGTAACCATTTACATTTCTCCAGTCAAAAGCAGGTGGGAGTCCCTGGTACTTCTCATCAGTGGGCATGGGAGCAGGCTTCGGTATACTGTGTTGAAAATCAGAGCATTAGTTGAGCACATCCACGAGTACAGCCAGTCATGTTTACCTCAGTGAAAATGAGCTAGGTGTACATTTGCTAGCCTGAGTTTACCTTGGGATTCTGGAATGTTTACCACCAGCTCGTCTAACGAGATTCTGAAGGGTCATCTTCTCATATTCTGGATACACTGTTGCAGTCCAGGATTTCTGAACCATATTGATTTGCTCAACAAATCCCAAGTTGTACTTGTAGAGTCTAGTTGATAGCCTGTAAGAAGGAGCCATAAAGAATTTTCACCTTGGAGGAGGATCATACCAGCTACGAGTCCCACCTCACTGATACTGTGGAAACTGTTCTTGCAGAGCCACCCAAGTAGCTGTTACAATCTCCACCCCTACACACTAGTTCAATGCCACAATCTGTGGGTGAAGCCTCCCCTCACCAAGATAAGAATATTTAAGTTTGAGACACATGGTAACCGTGGCACTGTGTTGCCTCACTTGTGTTTATTAAAAGGAACAATCCAGCCACCATAACCACTATAGCTCCCTAAGCTGCTGGCTCGCCATAGGAAATAGAAAAAAAGGGTAGTGTTACAGTGCTTGGAAGTCTACAAAATATTTTAACAGGGAGGATTCATCACCGCTCCCCATGTAAATGGTAGTAGTCTTCCTATACCACAATCCCTCATCACCGCTCCCCATGTAGATAGTAGTAGTCTTCCTATACAAATAGATACTTTTCCACTACTATTTTTTTAGTCTTCATTTAACATTAGGCTGAAACTTTCATTGTCGAATATTAGAATGCTTAAGTCTTAATTTCTGTCACATAGGCTGCAAATCATCATTATTTAGCTTAAGTTTTATTTTTGTAACATAGTGGTAAATAGTTAATTGATTAACAATATTATGCTTTCATTTAGCAAGTTTAAGCTTTGAATAGCTTTCAAGTTTCCTACCAGTTAAGACTTACCGTATATACTCGAGTATAAGTCGAGACCACTAAATTTACCCCCAAAAACTGGGAAAACTTTTTGACTTGAGTATAAGACTAGGGTGGGAAATGCAGCAGTTACTGGTAAATTTCTAAATAAAATTAGATCCCCAAAATTAATTTTATATTACAGTGTGTATATAATGAATGCATTGTGTATGAATGCAGTGTCTTGGTGGGGTGGGCTTTTTTAATATTATTATTTACATTTTTATTTATTTTCGTCCCCCCTCCCTGCTTGATACATGGCCAGGGAGGGGGTCTCTCACTCCCTGGTGGTCCAGTGGCATTGGCTGTTTAGGATGGGGGCTGGCAGCATGCTGTAACTTACCTTTCCTGCAGCTCCGGTCAGCTCCCCTGTAAGTCTCGCAGTGTGACTGCTGCGCTGAGCGTTGGCATGGTAATCCGTGGCAACGCTCTGACCCCACGGCTCTCGCGAGACTTGCAAGGGAGCTGACCGGACCAGAGGAGAGAGAAGGGAGCTGCAGGAAAGGTAAGGAACAGCTCTGCCAGCCCCCGATAGGACCGCCGGCGGTCCTGGTCTGTATTATGGCAATTTAAGTTGCCATAATTCAGACAGTGACTCAAGTATAAGACGAGTGGGGGCTTTCAGCACAAAAAAATGTGCCGAAAAACTCATCTTATACGGTATATTCTATTCCACAATGCTTGTGGATAACACCAGGCAAATCTTTTTGGTTAAGTCTCATTTTTGTATCATTCACGTTTTATTTAATTATTTTCTTTTCCCCCATCTTTACTACTAATCTCTACTACTTACCCACCCATTAAGGCATAGAAGAATTCTCATTGGTTAAATTCATTTAAATCCACCAATGAGAACTTCAGACATTTAGAAAAACATGATTCTATCACAAGACCGGTTCCCCTCTGATGAACCTGTGAGGTGAAACGCGCGTCAGGGGAAACATCACTGGCGCTATCCACCGGTCACTGCACTAAAAGTGACCTCTTTAGAGCTTTCTTTCGGCATCGGCCCGGCCGTTACCCAGCAGCACTTAAAGCAGCCTACAAAGTCTAGTCATTTCCAGCACAGTTCTTTCATTGTAGCAGTATTGGTGGGCATTTTCTATTTGTATTTTCATAGGAGATTGTAGGCTTTTGGCTAAGGGGGTGCCCTCAAAGGCACAAGTACCTAGGGACCACAAGCATAGGAGGACTCCTAGTGTTTTAGCAGTTAACCCCTCTCTATCCATAGCTTGTTGGTTAGCCAGTTACTGCAGAATATACCAGGCAATATCTTGCAGTCTGCACCTCCTAGTTACTATACTGCAGATACTCCCGCCTGCACATAATAGGATGTCCAGTGTTTTTGTAGTTAACCCCTCTACCCATAGCTTTGCGGGTTATTAACCATTTAAGGATCAAACTTATGGAATAAAAAGGGAATCATGACATGTCACACATGTCATGTGTTCTTAAGGGGTTCAGCCAGTTCCTGCAAAATCTACCAGGCAACATTTTGCACCTCCTAGTTACTATACTGCAGGTACTCCTGCCTGCACATACCATAACACTAGATTTCCAGTGTTTTTGTAGTTTTACTGCAGAATATACCAGGCAACATCTTTGCAGTCTGCACCTCCTAGTTACTATACTACAGATACTCCCACCAGCACATACCGCTTGATGCCATGTCTCATAGTCTTTAACACAGGACCCGGTCATCATTTCTGAGATGCTCTTTTCTGCAGTATACTGGCACTCAAGCTTGTTTTGGAGTCCAGACACTGCAGTTTCATTAAATATTGTTATCAGCTTAGTTAACAGCCTCAGTGCAGCTCACTGGGACTTTGCCATTTTTCCTTGATCCCGGATACTGGTATAGCGATACATTATTGGCACTACTAATTTGTAGCTGCTGTTACCACAGTGGCATTTCATTCTGTTAACAGGCAGTGTAACTGCATCACTTGAGGATTTCTTACAAACAGTCATTTGAATGAAGTGTAACTATCACTTCAGGATTTCTTACAACAGTTATTTGAATTAAAATTTGTTTGTATACAACCCCCTCCCCCCCCTTTTAACTATTTACATTAAAAGTTACGTTTTAATTATCTTTCCTCTTGTGATCTCCCTGAGCCCAACCTATCCTAAGGTCACCCCTCTATAAGAGGCAACTAGCACTCTGCAGGACATCATTTATCCTGTCTCCCTTCCTTATTGTTTTAGTTTTACATTTTGTTGCACTAGGGGTTAACCCCCGCTCAGGAGTAAGATCATTGTACCATCTTCCTTCCCTTTGTTTTTGTATTCTGTATGGATATGTTAACATGGATCTTTTAAAGGGTTTTCGTGTGGAGGAAGATGTAATTGTGCTCGGGAGGTTGCTCCATACTTGTGGTGCTCTGTAGGAAAATGAGGATGGCGCTACTTTTTCATAATGCGGTATACTAAATAAAGTGCGGCCAGGGAGAGCAGTCTACTAAAGGGTGGGTGCTTCCCAGAAAAAGCTTTTTTACCCCATTACAAAGTGTTGGCCCGTCTAATTTCAGAGGTCTAATGAAACTTGACCTTGGAGTTCATTAACAGGAAGATGTACTATACTTAAAATAAATTTGGTGTTCAACTGAAGAGAAAGCAGTGCAAAGGGACATAGAAACTGGATGAAGAAGACCTCACTCAGGCTACAAAGAAGTGGGCAGTAATATCTGCACTGATACAACATGGAGGTCCTGCAGATGTTTGGATTTGTTTTACCAGACAGATTAAAGAAAAGAATACATGCAATTAAATATGCTAGTTATGTATGTGAGCTTGAGTAAGAGTGTGTTGCCAGTTTGGTGTTGTGTGAAAGAAGCTACACTCGGAAGTTTGCTAGACTGAATATTGTTACATTTTTAAGAGCAGCCAATGTGTAGAGAACTATGACTAAGTCTAGATCAATGTTCTTTAGCTTTCCCACAATACACAAAGCTAAAGTTTCATTATACAATTTGTTTTACCATAGGTGCGTTATTAGCAGCCATCATTTATCATATACGTGCATCACACACACCCACAATACGCTAACCTAATGCAAGCTTCAAGGACAGGTCTCAAGAGCATAGATCTTTATTTGCACTGAGGAAATATTTGACAAGGATCAACAAGATAAAGGCGAGTGATAACTTACCTTCCTTCCTCCTCTAGGTAAGGTACTGGGTTTACTATGCGCCGTGGTGAAGCTGTAACCTTTTTTCCTACAAAGCATGCCCAATTTTTACCGAGTACGTTGTGCACCCACCCAGGGAGGGTCTCATGGCAGTAGCTTGTAACATTTGTGCCTTGCTTTTCATACTAAAGGGGAAGAGGATAAAAATTAGACATTAAAAGCAAACTTTAAAATGTGTTTCCATAAATAAAATTTTAAATAGTAATTTGAGATGTTTCTATGCTCTTAACCCATAAAGAAAAAAAAAAAAAAAAAAAACGACCCCGCCCATTTTTTTTTAAAAATACAGCTAAACATTTACATTGTGTCAATACTCAAAAAAAAAAAAAAAAAAATGATATTAACAGTGAGGTTCATGATGCACATTACAGATTCTGTACTTATTACCGGAACATTATAGATTGCCTACTCTAAGAGGCAATGTAAAAAGAAGAAAAATATTTGGATAAAAAATAAAATAAAAAAAAAACAGGCAACCACACACACTTTACATTAATAGTGAGGGAGGACACATTTCACTTCTTACTTTTGTAACTAAAGGTATTCCATTTTGGCATTTATGTTTGATGTCACACGTTAAAGAGAAACAAAGTTCTAGGTTTTGTCTTGGTCTTTATTGTATAGTTTGCACGGTGGACACCAGTCACGTTATCAGAAGTATTTTACAGCAGAGCAATTCTGGTTAGGTGGTTGCCAACACAGAATCTTCGTAGGTAGTTTAGTCTTAAAATTCAATTTTAGCAAGGGTACGGAGAACCACATTTATCCTCTTTAGGCTGTTCAATAGAGCCTTAGTAAGGACTTCTGCCTCAAACATACAATTTGCAACAAAAAAAAAATAAATACAAACCTACACAATGAGAAGTAGTATGCAGTAAAAATGCAAGGAAAAAAAAACAAAAAACAAAACAAAAACAAACTTGTTTTATGCTGTCAGAGGGGCTGCAGCTATGCATCAAAACCACTATGAGTACCCCATGGCCTGCTGCAGCTGGTTATGGTGCCAGGAGTGCACCGACACCCTCCCATTGTAATTAGCCAAAAACTTACCTGGAGTCTACCAAACTTATGACGCCACCTTCACACAAGCCCCAGCACCAAGCCAAGCCAGCAGAGGCGATTAACACTTGGCAGATTATAAGCAATTTGTCAGACAATTCTTAAATTTAATTACTTATGTTGGGAAGGGGCAACATCACTCCTGGCACCAGAGCCACTAAATAAGACTTTGATTGTTCCCTAGAGCTGTAGTGGTTTTACAGTGTGTCAAGTGTCTATTTAAATGGAATAGAATACTTTATTTTGACACAGGTTTGCACACACTTCTAACCAGTGTTTAAAATCGTGGGATGGGGCAGAACATTGAAGTGTTCTTTTAGCAGCCAGTAAAATTTTATTTCGACATATGAAGAGGATAAAAAAAAAAAATACAAAAAGTTATTGAGCACAAATTTGAAGGGACTGACAACTACTTTCAGTGATCAGATTTCTCATGCTGCTCAGCTGAAGTTACGGTTAATGAGGACGGATAAAGAGGTCTTCAACAACAAAAAACAAACATACCTTAAAGAAGGCAAACCACTTGTAGCCATTTATGTTCACTTCAAAACCTTGATTGTAGATAAGAGTGAAGAATCCAACATTTCCCATTTCATCTTCAGCAATATTGAGTTCTTTTAGACGAACTGTATATTTACTTCCAGTGGTACCTAAAACAAATTTGTGTATATTAGCGAATGCGATATTTGCCTGTTTCATCTAAAAGATTGTGCCAAGGGATTGATATCAACGGTTTGTTTCCTGGCACTGGCGAGTCCCTTTACCTCCAAGAAACAACGCTGGCTGTCCTCATGCAGAGCATGTTTAAAAAAATGGGGAAGGCCTAATTTGCATATGGCGTTTATGTCTAAGGACCCCAATTGGCTGACATTGGAAGCGGAGCCCAACCCAGCACACCTATGGACATCAGCAGACTGACCAGGCAAAGGGTTATTTAAAAAGGGTGGGAGGGCTAAACACTGCACATATAGACTTCAGGCATCATGAGCCCTAAAAAATAAAAAAATAAAAAATAAATCACTCCTGTGCCATGGTTTAGAGGAGGCATTCTTCAATACAAGGTTTCACCTACGGCATTAAAGGGAAGCTCCAGTGCCAGGAATACAATCCGTTTTCCTGGCACTGCAGGTCCCCTCTCCATTCCACCTCCCATCCCCTGGTAACTGAGGGGGTGAAAACCCCTTCAGGTCACTTACCTTAGACCCCGCTGATGTCCCTTGGCAGTGGTTTCTGCTCGCCGCCGCTCCCATTGGTTACATCAGCTGGTGGGCGAGACTGATCCCGCCTGCCGGCTGAGGAAACCTAATGCGCATGTGCACCAATGCCATGCATGCGCATTAGAGCTATCCATAGGAAAGCATTGAAAATTCTTTTCAATGCTTTCCTATGGGGAATTGAGCGACGCTGGAGGTCCTCACACAGCGTGCTATGATGCAGGAAGTGCCCTCTATTGGCCGTCTACTAGACAGCCACTAGAGGTGGAGTTAACCCTGCAAGGTAATTATTGCAGTTTATATAACAAAAAAAACCAAAACCAACTGCAATAATTACACCTGGAGAGTTAAGAGTAGTGGGAGTTGGCACCCAGAACACTCCAATGGGCAGAAGTGGTCTGGGTGCCTACAGTGTCTCTTTAAGCAGGGTTGCATTTTTTTTTATATTTGTGCATTGAGAGCTCTCCTTGCTCCACATTTGTCTTCCACACCCTATCAGGTCTGTATTTTGGATAGGTATTAGGCAGTCTCAGCTTTAATTATGTGCCGCTAATACAAGTCAATCCACAACTCAAGTCAATCCACAGCAACTTATTAGGCAGGCAAGGCTATATGGGGCTGGATTACAACAATTTGTTTGTCTAACCATTTCCTGTGAGCTTTCCGCCAATCACATGGGGAAACGAGACCCAACAAGAGTTGTGAAAGTAATGTGTGGGCCTATTGTTCACAGAAATCGACCAAGCCTTCTTTCAATTTTCTTCCAGTATCAGGAAGCATTTATGAGCTAATCAATTCTTACGAGTTGCCCCATCAACTAGAAAAGTTACCAGAAGCCTCAAACACCCAGAGGAGTGCTGTATTGCCCAATTTAAACATTGTAAACACCAAGTATTTTTCTAATGACATGAATCTACAAGAGAACCTATATTAAGCAGCAATAAACAAACTGATAAAACATAAAACCAGTCCAACAGGATTCACCTGAATGCTTGTATTAAACACCCTGACAAAATATTGATGAGCATGTGATTCCCTGCCTTATGACTAAAAACTAACAGACCAGAGAAAGGCACCATTAAAGCCAAAAGAATGTGTTTATGCAGAACATGGTGAGACTATACAAAGTAGTTCATATTACAGTTACTGTAACTGAATGCAGAGTCTGTCAGACTGTCTACAGAACTCAAGAATGAAAGTAATTAAAAAAAAAAAAACACTTGGGGATTTCCACTCTGCTATCACAATTACTAACTGCACACCACGTATTGGAAGATATGTGAAAAGCAGAACAAGTTAGACAGATACACAAATCACGTGTAGGGGTAAGGATATGACAGAACAGCTTCCTTTCAATACTTAAACATTTTAAAAAAATATATTTTTTTGTAAAAGTTTTTTCAGATAGTTTTCCATAAAAAACAGCAATGGTAAAGGATGGCAAGTAAACTTGCAGCACACTGTGGGGTCAGTCACTAAACACCAAGTCACAGGCAATAGAAACCCCAAGTTACAACTAGTAGTAAATGTTTGATTTTGAAACAATGCAATCGGAAGCTTAATTCACCACATCTTGGTCCTTCGTGAACAAAACCCTAGTCTATTCTCTTTTAACAATACATTACTACTGAACCTTTAATTACTGAATGTGCAGAAACAAGCAGGGAACTATGAGCCACAGAGCTAGCAATCTAATGGAAACAAACAGAACTCGGAAACAAGTGAGCCAGAGCTAGCAATTGAATGATTAAACCTCAGAGCACTGCATGACAAACTAGAGAGTGAGGAGTTAGGACCCAAGGATTCACTAATCAGCATGTACTATTAACCATTTGTGCCCCTGTGCTGCACATTAACCCTTTGTGGCCCTGAGCTGCACATAGTTGGCACATTAACCCATGGTGTTCCTGAGCTGCACATAGTTGGCACAGTAACCCATGGTGGCCCTGAGCTGCACATAGTTGGCACAGTAACCCATGGTGGCCCTGAGTTGCACATAGTTGGCACAGTAACCCACGGTGGCCCTGAGTTGCACATAGTTGGCACATTAACCCACGGTGGCCCTGAGCTGAACACAGTTGGCACATTAACCCACGGTGGCCCTGAGCTGAACACAGTTGGCACATTAACCCACGGTGGCCCTGAGCTGAACACAGTTGGCACATTAACCCACGTGGCCCTGTGCTGCACACAGTTGGCACATTAACCCACGGTGGCCCTGTGCTGCACACAGTTGGCACATTAACCCACGGTGGCCCTGTGCTGCACACAGTTGGCACATTAACCCACGGTGGCCCTGTGCTGCACACAGTTGGCACATTAACCCACGGTGGCCCTGTGCTGCACACAGTTGGCACATTAACCCACGGTGGCCCTGTGCTGCACACAGTTGGCACATTAACCCACGGCGGCCCTGTGCTGCACACAGTTGGCACATTAACCGGTGGCCCTGAGTTGCACATAGTTGGCACAGTAACCCATGGTGTTCCTGAGCTGAACATAGTTGGCACATTAACCCATGGTGGCCCCGTGCTGCACATAGTTGGCACATTAACCCATGGTGGCCCCGTGCTGCACATAGTTGGCACATTAACCCATGGTGGCCCTGTGCTGCACATAGTTGGCACATTAACCCTTGGTGGCCCTGTGCTGCACATAGTTGGCACATTAACCCTTGGTGGCCCTGTGCTGCACATAGTTGGCACATTAACCCATGGTGTTCCTGAGCTGCACATAGTTGGCACATTAACCCATGGTGTTCCTGAGCTGCACATAGTTGGCACAGTAACCCATGGTGGTCCTGAGCTGAACATAGTTGGCACATTAACCCATGGTGGCCCCGTGCTGCACATAGTTGGCACATTAACCCTTGGTGGCCCTGTGCTGCACATAGTTGGCACATTAACCCTTGGTGGTCCTGTGCTGCACATAGTTGGCACATTAACCCTTGGTGGCCCTGTGCTGCACATAGTTGGCACATTAACCTTGGTGGCCCTGAGCTGCACATGGTTAGCACATTAACCCATGGTGGTGCTGTGCTGCACATAGTTAGCACATTAACCCTTGGTGGTGCTGTGCTGCAGAGGGTTAATACTCACCCCCATGGGAGCAGTCGATATCGCTTTTCCCTCCCAGCTGCTGTCCCACACTGAACTCCCAGGTCCCCTCCAGGTCTGGAAAGCTGCAGTTAGCTGGGGTGTCAGCGGCCCCCAGACGGGCCATGGCGGCCAGCACCACCAGCCAGCTGCACAGCCTCTCCATGTTAGAAACCAGGAAGTCCCAGCTCCCCAGCGCGCTGAGAGTTAAATACTCAGCCAGGGATCAGCTGACCGCTCACATGACAGGGGGGTGGATCACGTGATGAGGGGATCACATGTGCTGGCCTAGGAGATTATTTTATCATTAATATACTGTTATTGTATGTATTGCTGACACACACACACTGTGTGGGTAATAATGCTGATTGCTAGAACACAGGAAAGGCCATGCAGGCAGCCCAGTTATATGGCAATGACTTTTGTAACTTTTCTTTATTGACATTACATTTCCCTCATCCTGTAGGCAGCATTTTATATGTGTTATTATTATTATTATTATTGGTATTTATAAAGCGCTAACATATTCCGCAGCGCTGTACAATCGGGTCGGATAGACAGTATACTATAGAGAAATTAAATCCTCTAGACTGTCGGCTCATCAATCTATTGTTCTCGTAATATTTTGTAATTGTCTCATTTATTGTTAAATGTACCCCTTTTACAATATTGTAAAGCGCTGCGGAATAGGTTGGCGCTATGTAAATGGTAATAATAATAGAGAAGCAATAGAGGACACTGCCTGTAAGCTTAGATCTAGTTGTCACAATGCTTTTATACAAAGTACTGTACTGCCCAGCTGCACAGAGAGATTTAGCGACGGTAATGCGCAGAGTACCTTTAAACCGCGAGGTGAGGTAACTGTGATCATAGGTGTGCAGCACATTGCATTACGGTGTGTGCACCCAGATGGCGTCTGGCCTGAGACATCCCTTTAATATGCCTGCACTTCTGATACTTAGTAACAATCAACTGGAGCAAGTACCAATAATACCAGTAGTAGGTTTGAAACCAATCAATGGAATCGGCATTAATGTCGAAAGAAAAAGGACAGTTAAATGTCAGATGCACTGACACTGTTTCAGTCTCATCATGCACAGGAGAACGATGGAACTTTTTAAAAACAAACATTATAGTGGCTCAGAGAATAAAAATTAATTATTTAAATTCCAAATAGTTTGTAAAATAAAGAGTTGGACTTCAAGTAGACCCTTTGGGGCACATTATCACAAGCAGGCCTTCTAAAACATCACAAGCTGAAACTAGGACCCCTGATAGAGAGTAATTTGAATGTAATTTTAGGCATGGAAACATTATAGTCCATGCTTTCAGCACAAATCCCTCTATCCCTCTTTTCTATTCCAATGTGCCTCTTTTCTAGGATAACAGAGCTCCGTAGCAATAATACTCCCAGTAATGTGTCGGAGTGTATAACAGAGCTCCACAGCAATAATACTCCCAGTAATGTGTCTGAGTGTATAACAGAGCTCCACAGCAATAATACTCCCAGTAATGTGTCTGACTGTATAACAGAGCTCCACAGCAATAATACTCCCAGTAATGTGTCTGAGTGTATAACTCACAGCAATAATACTCCCAATGCTGTATCTCCCAGATGTGTCTGAGTGTATAACAGGCTCCACAGCTCCATAACAGAGCTCCACAGTAATAATACTCCCAGTAATGTGTCTGACTGTATAACAGAGCTCCACAGCAATAATACTCACAGTAATGTGTCTGACTGTATAACAGAGCTCCACAGCAATAATACTCACAGTAATGTGTCTGAGTGTATAATTGAGCTCCACAGCAATAATACTCACAGTAATTTGTCTTTAAAATACAATAGTATATATTTATAAATCAGTATGGTAAAATAAGATATGTTGTTCTTGTTCTGAATTACATTTTAGTTGAATAAAATGTTATTAGTAAGTCACCTAAAATTTCTCCACCTCTGCCCACAATATCAATCACACATCTAACAGGAAAATGTTTGTCCATTTGAAATATTTTGAGGTATGCGAATATGAAGGGTTACTGTATACTTTTATTTACAAATTAGGAGTTCAGTGGCTGATTTTAAACTTAGATAACCAACATTTCAGAATTGTAAAACTTGTATCCTTGAGACAGGAATTGTCTCCTCTTGGTGTATGACCTGTATTGTGATAATCCAATGTATATGAGTTATTCACAAAGTCAAGACACATTAATGAATCTATTTTCATAAACATTGCGTTATCTGCACTAGCTGTCTTCAAATTAGAGTAGGCAAAACTGTAAAAAAAAAAAAGTTTTTTTTTTTTTAAACCTCCCCGTTTTTTTTTACACTAAATAAAGAGTTATGTATTTATGTTATTTTTATATTGTTTATAAAGTATAGAAAAATTGGTTTCCATTAAAAAAAACTGTATAGGTGCTGGAGCTCTAAGTAAGAAATTACTGTTGAGTGAAGACGTAGTAACAATGTAACTAGAATCTGCCTGCTTATCTTGCAAGGTTTATCACAATAGGCAACCTTCTGCACTGCAGATGTGTTGGACTACACCTCCCATGATGCTTTGCCAGCATTATTGGTGTAAAAGCATTATGGGGGCTGTAGTCCACAACATCTGGAGTGCCAAAGGTTGCCTACCCCTGCAAGAATAATGCAGGTATTCAAGCAGGAGAAAACTTGTATGGGGCTATTGCCGGACTCCATACTTTTGCATATTAAAGGACCACTATAGTGCCAGGAAAACATACTCGTTTTCCTGGCACTATAGTGCCCTGAGGGTGCCCCTACCCTCAGGGTCCCCCTCCCGTCCGGCTCTGGAAGGGGGAAAGGGGTAAAAACTTACCTTTTTCCAGCGCTGGGCGGGGAGCACTCCTCCTCCGATCCTCCTCCTCTCCTCCCCATCGGCTGAATGCGCACGCGCGGCAAGAGCTGCGCGCGCATTCAGCCGGTCGCATAGGAAAGCATTATAAATGATTTCCTATGGACGCTTGTGTGCACTCACTGTGATTTTCACAGTGAGAATCACGCAAGCGCCTCTAGCGGCTGTCAGTGAGACAGCCGCTAGAGACTTTGGGGGAAGGCTTAACCCATTCATAAACAAAGCAGTTTATCTGAAACTGCTGTGTTTATAAAAAAATGGGTTAACCCTAGAAGGACTTGGCACCCAGACCACTTCATTAAGCTGAAGTGGTCTGGGTGCCTAGAGTGGTCCTTTAAATAAGCAGGAGTCATGTTGAAATGTCTACTGCATAGCACTGCATGAGTGATTTAGGGAGCAAGAGTTGCTCAGGGCCTTTACTAGCTCAGCTTTGATTTGGTGTGTACATAAACTGGCCTCCTGCAATCTCGGGAGCAGTTCATAGCTTATTTAACGATCCTGTGTGTTACTGTCGTTAAGTCTCACATATTCCACAGTGCTGTACATTATTAAATATAATGATACTAATTGCTTACATTTCCACTACATTGTCTTTGTATTTTACTTTTTATTCCTTTAAACTCACACTAGATTAAACACAATTTGTCTGCAGCCAGAATTCTATGCAGACACACGCTGGGCCACAGTACAGGTCTCTTCCTCTGTGTGTGCCTGATCTACGCTCGATAAAAGATTGGACTTTGCCTCCCCTGGAGTTAAATATGTAAAGCTCTGTGATTACCTGGGGAAACCTCATTTAACTGTGATTCCTGTAAAATCTCTCCAAACATGGCATTCTGCCTGCAACGTAATGTTCCTCTTTGTGAGCCTTCTTTGCATTATTGAAATAAATACGGTTGTATTATTGCAATCTGTGCCCAATGATAAGAAACACATTTATGTTACCATAGCAGCAGTAAGCCTTTTAGTAATATAATCTCGCCCGCCACTCATCAGATGACATTCACATATACATTATTTTTATATAGCACATTTGCAGAGTTCTAAAAGAGTAACAAGTGATTTCAAATGACCTTTCTATTCAGGTTAAAATGTATGCGCACTGCTATTATCCTTAGTGGCATAGTGTCCACATTTGCTACCTATGGACACAAGCAATTTTAAAATTATTTTGTTTTTCAACAATTTTTCAATTTAGTGCATACACGTGTATTTTATCTATTTTTTTTTTCAATGACAGATGTTGATTGTAGCTCCCACCACTCTCAACCAGGAGGAGGAAGACTGAGCATCAGGTTAACAACCCTCCAAGAAATCTTGAATGTCGAGTATTTACTACAACTAAGACATTTGTAAAACTTCATGTTGTGCAAAAATGTCATGGCGGAACTTTGTAGATAGCAGTAAACCTTCATCTTTGTTTGAAGATTTTTCATCAAATTGATAGTAAATTCAGCTTTAGATATCTTGTAACTCTCCATCAATGTATATTATGCATAGCAGGATATTATTTGCAGTATTATTATCAGCATTTATATAGAGCCAACAAATATTCCGCAGTGCTGATCTGAGTGTGGTTTGACACCTGGACTCCTACGAGAAGTTTAAGAAATATAATTTACTTACTTATAGCTTACTTTTCATTACTTATGTGAATTGGAACCTGCCTTCCACAGAATTGTGGGCGTCAGTTCCCCTTTAAATAATGTGATGCAGTTAGTTTGTATTGTGAGTGTGCGTATTTGGGCTTTTCATCTGTGCAAGCATTTTGGTTACAGTGTAACTGCACATTAGGTAACAGTGGCAGCTGCTATTTTTGAATCCGCTTTCATAACCGCCACAAGAACTTATATCCGACCAAAATAGCTGACAAACCATTCAGTTATTAGGAAGTATTAATCACATGTTGAATTTTCACTCCACACATTCTCACACTCAGAATATTACTATTAATCTGTAACTTGTTTCCATGTGAGTAAAAGTACATTTTCATTAACGCAATGATACAAAATGTGTGATATTATTCCACTGATCAAGCTAAAAAAAATGCACATTTATTTTATTCTTATTACTATCTATTACAGTTAAGATTACTGCAAGCAGCTGTGGGATCCAGGCATTGTATCGCTCATTGATAAACATGATCTATGAAGGCTCCTGCATTCTCACAATTCTCCATAGAATACAACACCGACATGGCTGCGGGCAGTTGAGGCGCTAGGAACAGAAGAGGTTCGGCCCCCAGGATGAAGATAGTAGTGGCCGTAAGAGACACCTTGAGTTAAGTAAACCTACCTCTGACTGCACCTCACGGCAACTGGACCTTAAAGGGACACTATAGTCACCAGAAATTACTACAGATTATTGTAGTGGTT